TGGACATGAATTTGAGCAAACTCCAGCAGATAGTGGAGGACAGGGAGGTCTGGTGTGCTGTAGTCTGTGGGGTTGCAGAGTCGGACATGATTTTGCCAATGAACAACAACAACCCTGTCTCAAGTCTCTATTAACCTACAGTTTTTTTTTTTTTCCAGGAACTCTGAATAGCAGTTTCAGAGCTTATGCCTAAGTAAAACATATGGATTTTGCCGCTTGGCAGAATCTTTCAGATAAATAATAGAAAAGCCCCAACAAGTCTTCCAGTCTGTCTCCCCAAAACCAGGACAGGATCATTTCCTACATTAGGCCTGTCTGATGTTTTATCTGATTTAATTTTTAATATTTTGGATGATGACTTTCACAATTTCCCTGAGGAGACCATTTCATAATTCAATATTTATCTCCTAGACAGGGAGTGTTTCCAGTAATCAACCCAAATTTCTAAATTTCATCTTGTTCTCTTGCAGGTTATTTCCTCTCTGGGAGAAGATACAATTTTTATATATGGTATAAGTGTACCAACAATTTTTCAGTAGGCAATATATTTCTTTAGATTCTTCAATGAAATTAATACCCTTAACTATTTGTTTTTATTGTTTTTTTCTGAACACCTATCATTTTTCTTATCCTTTTCACATCTATATTAACTTATTTGCTACTTGAAGTCTCATTATTTTCTTTAAATTTTTTAAAAAATGATACAGATAATTGAAAAGACTTTCTGTTTGTTTTTAAAGTATCTATTTATTTAGCTGTACTGGGTCTTAGCTGCAACCCATGGGATCTAGTTCCCTGACCTGGGATCAAATCTGGGCCCCCTGCATTGGAAATGCAGAGTCTTAGTCACTGAACCACCAGGGAAGTCCCTGATTCTTTTTTTAAAATTAACTATTTTTAGTAGTGACTTTTTGGTAGTAAAATAGCATAAGATAAAATATACCATTTTAGCCATTTTTCAGTGTACAGTTTAGTAGCATTAACTACATACACATTGTTCTGCAACCAGCACCACCATCTGTCTCCAGAGCTTTTCCATCTTCTTAAATTGAAACTCTGTACCTATGAAGCACTAACTTGCCATCCCCTCAACATCCCCTAGCTGTTTTACTTTCTACCTTTATGAATTTGACTATTACAGTCATTCATATAAGTTCATTTTTATTTCTTAAAGGGACTAACACCTCTAAAGACCATCCCCATGGAAAAGAAATGCAAAAAGGCAAAATGGTTGTCTGAGGAGGCCTTACAAATAGCTGTGAAAAGAAGAGAAGTGAAAAGCAAAGGAGAAAAGGAAAGATATTCCCATTTGAATGCAGAGTTCCAAAGAATAGCCAGGAGAGATAAGAAAGC